GTACACAGATTCTGGGACAGATTATGACTCAGGTCACAATTTTATTGTGATGAGCTGATGAGCTTAAATTCTTTAAGATAGCATTGTGGTAACTTTGAACTGATGAGGAGGGTGTCCTCGTACACAGATTCTGGGACAGATTATGACTCAGGTCACAATTTTATTGTGATGAGCTGATGAGCTTAAATTCTTTAAGATAGCATTGTGGTAACTTTGGAAGCTTTAAGCTATCCCACTCTTTGGTACTAAGAGTTGTGTTGCATGTGAAGGTGCAACTTTGGGATTGGAGCAACCCCAAGACTCCTTCTACTTAAACCTAGCAGGGCTCCCCTCATTAACACTTAATAAGAGAGGGGAGAGCTTTGCAGATTTCCCAAAGTAAGAACATTTGCATCACTACAAAACCACAGGAGAAAAACAGTGTGCAAAAAATACGACTCAGAAAGTCAGCCACCCCTTGACTAGCTGGCTGTCCTCAATCAGCTTTCTCGTGCCCCCAAACAGCATCACAAGTGCTGAGAATGCCCTAAAGTAACACCCGGTCTTCAGAAACACATCCCCTCCATCCCCTGCACCTGCTCATGTCAAGCTTCTGTCTTTTAAATTAACTCTTATATAGTGATCAGATACTGTGATACAGCTTTATCACTGGTCAGCTAGCTGTCAATGATGAAGAACGTCACACATACACAATCCTTGTTCAACTGTCTTTCTCAGCCCTGCTACGATATAAAGAGGTAAGCAGTGGCTGGCTGGTGGCAGACACAGCCAGGATTCTGGGTAAACCCTTATCCTTCCGTCTCGGTACACACTGCCTCCCTTCCAACTAGCTCCCGTGCTTCCCTACTTTCAGATTTGCTCTGACTACAGCTGGAGGGGACACACACTAAATGCCCCTGGGAACAACATCACCCATCACCCAGATCCCTGGTCCTTCCTATGCGATAACTCCAAGGTCCATGGTCTGCTATTTCACCCAGAGAAAAGAAGTTCCAGTCACCCACAATGGTGACTTGCTTAGTTACACAGTCTCCCTGCCCCCATGCCTACTTGTCTCACATCCACTTGTGGCCCAAATAAACTTACCCTTGAATTCCTGTCTCCAGGTCTTTTTCTAAAAGGACCCAAGCTAAGGTGAATTGCTGCATCATTACTTCAAGTATTGTTCTTGCAATGGCTGGATCTTTGCAATACAAGGATCTTTCAAATCCTTCAAGTCTTCTTCAGTTTCTATTTAAGTTTGCATACATGTGTTTTATTTCCTCATTGTCCTTTCTTGAAAGAAACGCAAAGTTTGTGGCTCCACTCTGGTGCTCACATTCAGATATGGATATGCTGGCAATGACTTTTACACCTTGTATACATTAGAAACATCTGGACAGCTTTAAAGTCAACACCTCCTCCCCTCCTTGTGATCCTTTTATTGACCTAGTTTCAGATGGACTGTGGATACAGGCATTCATTAAACTTCCCTTGGAGAATGTCAACATAGTGAAATCATTATGGAACAGTACACAGAGGTTCCTCAAAGAACTAGCAGTAGAACTACAGCATGATCTAACTCTGGATATATCCAAAAGATTCAAAGTTAATATGTCAAAGAGATGCCTGCACTCCCTGTGTTCACAGCAGCATCATTCATAGGAGCTGAGTTATAGAATCAACCTAAGTGCCTGTCAACAGATGAATAAATAAATAAAGTATCAGACTGAGGGTATGACTCAAGTGGGAGGCTCTAGTTCAGTCCCCAAATCTCCAGGAGAGAGAAATAGAGAGAGAGAGAGAGAGAGAGAGAGAGAGAGAGAGAGAGAGAGAGAGAGATTGACTGAGAATGTGGTATTTACCCACAATGGAATACTAGTCAACCCCTCAAAAGAAACTGAATTCACAGCACAGAGAGAAAAATACCCCAGGTTCTCACCTACATGTGGAATCTGAAACAATGGACTTCATAACAGCAGAAGATGGTGGTTACCAGAAGCTGGGGGGTGAGGGCATGGGAATGAAGACACGTTAGTCAAAGGGTACAAAGTTTCAGGTAGACAAGAGGAATAAGGTTTTTGAGATAACTGTACAGTATGATGAATACTACAGCTAATAATAACACATTGTACATCTCAAAATTTCAGAGTAAATGTCAAATGTTCTCACCACAAAAAGTAAGTATTTAACAAAACTGGAGAACAGGAGGGCAGAACAGGTCCTGTTGGGGGTTGAGGGTTGGTACCAGTGTGTTGGGTATACAGGGTGAATATGTGCCAATGCCATGTACACATGTATGTAAATGGAAAAATGAGACCTGTTGAAACTATTCCAGGAATGGGGGAGGGGAGATAAAGGAGAACCACGGAGAGGTGAATTCAACTAAGACATATTTGATATTTTGTAAGAACTTTTGTGAATGCCACAGTGCACCCCCAGGACAACAATAAAAAAAACAGAAAAAATAAGTGTTTGAGGTGATGAATATGTTAATTAGCTTGAATCAATCACCCCATGTTGTTCACATGTCACAATATCATTTTGTGCGAGATAAACATATACAGTTATAATTTCTCAATTTGCAATGCAATTATTTAAAAGTCCCTTTGGTGGCTCTAATGTGCGGCTCCCTATGGGTTTTGCTCCCACTTCCATTATAAAGGATTCCTTTACTTCCTCATTTTTTCTTATTTCCTAACTTTAGGGCCTCTGAACATTTCTCACAAGTGGTAGCTATGAATTTTATAAATGTAATTGAGGAATTTCAGAGTGTACCAAAAGCATCAAGGAAAATTAGATAAAAAGAAATCCCAAGAAACTCTGCTTAGAAATTCTTCAGCTTGCTTAAGAAAGAAAATGAAACTCCAAACCAGGAGACTATTCTATCACAAAATTATACCTACTTTAATTTCCATTAACAAGCTCATACTCAGAGAGAGCCTCTACAGAGGCAGCACAATGGGATGGTTTACATGGTGGACAGTGGATCAGACTCCCACAGTAAGTTTCAAGGCCCAAGAGCTGGCTCTGTCTTGGCTGGGTTACTAAGTTTCTCTGAGCCTTATCTATATAGTTCCCTCATCTGTAAGATGAAAATGATAATGGCCCTATCCCATAAGGTCACTATGAGAATTAAAAGATTAATATTTATAAAGCACATAAAAAAACAGCACCTGGCCCATAAGTGCTGGCTAAATAAGACATCTATCCCTCAACGACTTCAGTTAGAGTCTTACAAAGATGCCTTGCAGTGATGCTATGTATCATTCAGAGACCTCTTGTGAACACAGCATTTAGGTACAAGCCAGGGAAAGTCCTCACAGCGGAGCCATGTAGCTGACTGCATGTCAGTTCCGTTCCATCAGGACCCAGACTCCTTCTACTCTTTGACTCCCCGGCCATGAGTGGCCTTGGCGCCAGGTCCAGCAGGATGGTGACTGAGCAGCAGGTACACGTCTCAGTCCAGCAGCACTGAAGGAGGACCTGCTCTCTCTCCTACAAAGGCTTTCTTTGCAAAGTACAGCTCTCCTAGGCACATTACTTGATTTCACAGGACCAAACAGCACAACCAGGCACTGCCCCTCCCTGTTTCAAGTAAGAATAAGACTTTGAGAATTGGGCATCTAACACTCAAGACGAAGGTCTAGAGGCTCTGAAGATGCCCATCTGCACAAACCTCCTCACACCCACTGACGAGCCTTCTGATTGCATTCATAGCTCTGCACTCTGCCTCCTAAAAACTGACCAAGGTCCAGATGTCAACAGAAGAGTGACTAGAAAAACTTCAGGTAAAACCTTTGACATAATGAAGACAGCCAAACCCATCTGAGCTGACCCCTTGACCCAACAAGCAGGGTGACACATCCCTCCAGAGGTTTGTGACACCTGCCAGCTCTCTTCTCTGGGATACAGGTCAGCTGTGCCTCAACCACCTGTACCCAGTTCCCCAGGCCTGGAGGGGAAAGGCGCCCCCCCAGCTTGCTGCTTGCTTTTCCACTCAACTCCTGTTCTATTCCATGTTTGTGAGCTTCTTTCTCTCTCACCCTGAGCAATAAAAATGTCGGCAGCCAGGCCCCCCAGCATGGTGGGAAAACATATGAAATTAACTCAGGTAAATTAGCAATGCTGAGAAGACATTACTACTCTGTAATTATATTAGAGAGAGGTCTGCCTGCTGGCCATCTAAAATTAGAGGTAATTATTCTAATTATCAATATCACATTGGTTTCAACTTAATGCCTGCATGTAAAGGGTAGTAGAGAGAAAACAAAATGAAAAAATAGAAAATAGAAGGTACAATAGCTTGGTATTAGTGACCAGCAGATCTTACTTCTATGTGACCCCTTTCCCAGTACTTTGGCTCTAATCAATTTCTCATTTGTCTATTCACCACAGGTTTTGACATTAAATTTCCTAGTCCTGCAGAAATCCTGGTGAGTGATCTGCCTCTTCCTTCCTCCAATTCCACTTCTTACTCAGGAAAGCCAATAGCTGAGTGCATCACAGCCATCACAACAAAATAAAACCAGCCTGCTAGAGATGTGCACTGCAGGTTGACTGCCTGTAACTACTTTCCTATTATTCAGACTGTGAGTATTCAATAAATCCCTTTTAAATAAAATAGGATGCTGTCTGATTTGTGAAGTACCATACTTCAAATTATCCAAATAATCTTTCAAATGCCAAGAAAGAGAACAAGAATTTCAAGTTCACCTTTTGTTTATAGAGCACATTAGGAACCACTGATCTGCGAACAATGAGAATTTTGGCTCTTTTGAGGCTTTCAGAACTTCCTAATTAGTCTTCTTTTTTAAATGTACATGGGCAAGATATTTTTAGATTGCTATTCAGAAATAAGTAATGATAATACTAATCACTTGATTGATAAATAAAACATTCCTAAAAAATTACAAGAAAAACACTGATGTTACAGTAAGCACCAGAATTTAGTTTTATGTCTTAAAGGACATGACACAGTAGACAACAGGAATAACATGTCACACCATGGGGAAACGTACCCGAGGAAGCTTCTAGTCTTTCCAATCTGCTGATCAGCCAGTCGAGGGAGCCAGAAAATTGAGCACAGTTTTTACGGTTTCCTCTAATTAGAGCCGCTGCAAAAGAAGATTCCACATTTACGTGAGTTTCTAGTTTGAAAATCAAGGTAGGCTGACAGCAAACTTAAAATGTTAGATCAAGAACAAGATATCTTCATGTATCATCTGAACCATATACAACCATGTATACATGTACACAGGAAAAACTAGGACATTAAAAGTGACTTGACATCTATTCATGGGGACTAAAAAAAGCACTGCTCATTAGAAGGAAAATAATTCCAGAAAGTAACATTTCACATTGGGAGGTGATAATGAAGCATAATGGGAAAAACCAGTGTTCTGGGAGTTACCTCGCTTGGGTTCTGAAACTCATTGCCTTTAATTAGCCAGGAGACTGAATTACTTCCTCTCTCTAGAGTCCAATTTTTGTACCTATATGCTGAAGCACATCCGTTTTCCTGAGACTGTACCACAAAATACGAGGAGATACAAGTACTGCCAACTCTACATGAATGTGCATGGAGAGAAGGAATGGGAGCGTGATGGCTCGAGTACGAAAACATGTTTGCCATACACCTCTTCCTCCTCTCTGAGACTCACAAAGCATATGAAAAACTCTGAGGAAACCTGAAGTGAAGAAACCCCTTCTGAGGACCAAGCAAACCAGGGTACATTGTAAGCATATATGAGAATGACATAACAACCCCCCCCAACCCATACAACTATTATTACTAATACAAATGTCTGAAAACAGAAAGAGAGAGAGAAAAAAAGAGGAAGGAAGGAAAGAAGGAAGGAGGGAGGGAGGAAGGAAGGAGAGAGGGAGGAGGGGAGGGAGGAGGGAGGGAACTCATTCTGCCAGATGCTGCTGGCTCACACCTGTAATTCTAGCTACTTAGGAGAATGAGATCCAGAGGAGCATGGTTCCAGGCCAGTCCAGACAAGATGGGGGTCATGAGACCCCATCTCCAAACTAAGCAGAGCAAAATGTACTGAGGTGTGGCTCAAGCAGCAGAGCTCCTGCTTTGCAAGTATGAAGCCCAGTTCAAACTCCAGTCCCACCAAATAAGAAAAAAATAAACCCATTCTAACTTTGTTTCTACAAATTTTTTTTTGGCAGTACTAGGGCTTGAACTCAAGGCCTCTCACTTACTAGGCAGGCGCTCTACCATTTGAGCTACTCTGCTAGCCATGTTTTTTTGTGCCAGGTATTTCTGAGATAGGGTTTTGCAAACTATTTGCCCGGGCTGACTTCAAACTGCAATCCTCCTGAACGCTGCCTCCTGAGTAGCTAGGATTACGGACATGAGCCACCAGCACCCAGCTGTTTCAACAATTTTTTTTTAGCCAAAAATATTTCCTTATTTGAAATTCCTACATGATTCTGATCCCATTCAACCTAGTTTATATACTTCATTTAAATTTTTTAATTTTTCAGTTTAAAACTCAATCGATTCAATGCTTGAAAAGCAAGTCTGGTAATTTTTTTATATAAGTTTCACTCTTTCACCAATAATCTTCCTCAGAGATAGTATAAGTGCTTACAAAGTGTCAGTGAGACTTTTAAGTAACATGATACTTAAAGAAAGATGTCTCCACAGGGAGAATCACTATTTACAGTCTGGTCGCACTAGGAAGTAGATTGGAAATGCCCCAGGTACCTCTTGGTTAAAAGCAGGAGGGATGAGATTCTAAGATCAGAGCATGCAACTAAACTCAAAGATGTCCTTTCCTTCTCCTCTTCCCAAAGCTAAGAAAAGAAGTAAAAGCTATCACCAGGGAGTAAGAGAAGAACCAGACAGAGGAAGACAGGACGTCTCCTCTCTACAGTGGCCTGAGAAGAGCCCTTGGAGCCTCCAGGACATGACCCTTCACAGGGACCCCCTGAGTCTGCGACAAATTCTTTTTAAAAAATCACAAATACTCTATACAAATAGAACTTTAATATGAAATCTATGAAGACATCATTTCCAGAGTCAAGATAGTATGTAAAGTTATAGTAACAACAGATGACAATGAAGAAGAAAGTGGGAAAGAAGGAGGTAACTAAGCAAGTCCCCAAAAATGCAGACATCAAAGGGAAGCCATTGGACTCTCTCAGACTGGGATTCGGACCATACCAACCAAATCTTCAAGGATAGAAAGGACAAACCCAGTGTCTTAGGGTGCACAGATGTATACAGGCACACACAATACGCTGTTTCATACATGGGCACGTCAGATTTTTGATACATATCCAAAGGAAAAAAAACAAAGGTTATACACTAACATGGGCGGTAAAAAGTAGTTCCCTTCTCCTTATTTATTTTATTATTTAAATTCTTACGATGACTATTAATTTTGAAATCAAATAATAAAGCTGCTTTCTTTTCAAAAGGAAAAAACAATGACATCAATGTACACAGTGTCAATCATTATCAGATATCTGAGACACATCTGAGTTTCAGTGGCAACTTTATTTTTTTTTATTAAGGTGTTATCTGTTTTTTACACCCTATTGAGCTTTTCTTATTTTTCTTTCTTTTATCATTTTTATACTTACGTGTATACACATTGTGTGCAGTGACAAATGGTGCATCCAGGTATGAAAGAGACAAACGTCTTTTCTAAATATGGGACAGAGTATCTACATATACTCTGTAATCCCTGGCTCACTGACTAAGTAAACACTTTCATCCTCCATGAATTATTTTCCCTCTCATTCATTGAAGAACTGCTGACAGAAATGCAGCAGTCACTTTGGTTGGCTCTGTGAAGATGAGCTTACATAAAACGTAGCATATCAAAGTGGCTTACAGGTCTTGTCTCGTTATAGGTTCAGTTCCTTAGGTCAAATATTCTGTCACATCACACCTTTGCACAGCCCATGAAACTTAAAAGATACATGATTTCTGAGCATGAGGGGATGGGCGATTAGCTTCCTATCTTCCATGGAATAAGAACCTCCATGGTTAAATATCTGTAATTCATATTAGTTACCACAGAAATGTTCTGAACTAAGCACTTAAGAAAATGCTAGTTCACTGAATTAATTCATTATTGTTGAATTTTCCAATTAGGCACCAGAAATTGAAATGTGGGCATATTGGTAATTAATGAAAAATTATTGTAAAAATACATATTTGGTTCTGAATTTCTTATTACAGGTTGTCTGCAACTCAAAATGTTTCAACTTACAATGTTTCGTGTTTACAATGGTGCAAAAGCAACACACATTCAGTAGACCATACTTCAGATTTTGAACTTGATCTTCACCTGGGTTGGAGACAAGTGAGATAGTACTGTCTGAGATGTTGTGTAGCAGCTGTGAACTCCAAATCTCAGCCAGCCACACAACGATGAGGTGCAACAATCAACCCTCTACAGTAAACAGTGCTGTCAGCATTCGAGGGGCACAGGTGTTCAACAGATTACGTGAGATATTCACAGTTTATTATAAAATAGGCTTTATGGCAGATGACTGTGTCCAAGTGCAGACTGATCTGAGTGTTCTGAGCACTTTAAGGTGGGCCAGGTTGAGCTATAATGTTTAGTAGGTTAGGTGTATTACATGTGTGTTCTCCTTACTGTGCTTTCAGCTTACAATGGGCTCATCTCAACACGACCATCGTAAGTTCAGGGGTATCTTTAATAGTATGACATGCCCTGCCTTTGTGCTCCAATGCCTCCAAACGCTCAAATTTTCTCAAAGTACTCAGAGAATTACAAGTGAAGTGAAACTTAAGTATTATCCAAGAAAACTCCCTCACTTAAATTTGGTTCAACCATCATCCATCACCTACTGAAAATCACACACTGTTCCTAGCCAATTCAGCAGGAGGCCAGACAGCATCCCTCTAGCAGTTCATATGCAGACCCTACAAACAACAGGTGGACGGGCCCCACACAGCACAGATGATGGAAGTTGAAGGAAGGTCTCTAGAATTTTCAGAGCAATAAGTAGATGCCCCTAAGCCTTCAAGACCACCAAAAATTGGTGCTGAAGAATTGAAGATGACACCATGGAAACTTCTTAGAGAAATTAAGGCATTGCCCTGCATTCCAGCAACCTTGACAGCTGCAGTTGGGTGACTCCTACCCAGGAAGTCACCAGAATGAGAGCAGCACAGACTGTATGCCTGGGGTGCACTGGTTTTCAGGAATGTGCCAGGCCAAGGATGCTAAGTGCACCCCTCCCTGCCTTGGATCATGGGAAAAGGAGACAGCTGTGGGGTCACCCTGAGTCCACTCATTAGGGCCACTGGAGCAACAGGACAGCTTCAGGGAAAAGAAGCTGGAGGTATGCCATCAGTTGCACACGACCACAGAAGAGACTGGAACAGCCACTCAGAGGGGCGTCATCACTGCCCTGTCACAGAAACTGCAGGACAGAGGAGCTCAGCTGGGAATCTCCCTTGCACCCACAATAAAAGAGCTGCTCTCAGCCACTGCTAGGCCCCAAGGGTATCAGCCTTGATCATGTGGCTTGCCCAATCTCACTCATCCTGCTGGAATTGCCTTTGTAGAATAGTGGGTTCCTTGAAGCACACAAGCAGGTTAAAAAAGGAGGCAACTCAAATTAGTTTTAAAATGAAGTTGCCTAAAATATGTTAATCACTGTCATCGCTGTTGCATGGAAATGAGACTATTACAAAATTGAACAACAACAAAAGTGATGTCTTGCTTAAAAAATGCAGTGCCTGTCCAGGACCTCCTAAGAGCAGGCAGGAACTGTCTACACGCGCACACACTAGAATAATGCCTGGTACATGGGTGTTTGAAGTCCAGGCCCTCACTTCTCATCTCTTGAAAGCCTTCCCCCATGTCTTATGGTGTTTAGGAAAATCTCCCTCCCAAAACACTGGGAAAACTCTGAACCTGCAAAACCCTCTAATTGCTAAACCTTTCTGAGTTAGTCACTTTTTGTCACTGAGATAAAATATCTGAGAAAACAACTTAACAGGAAGAAAATTTTATTTTGATTCACAATTTCAGAGGTTTTAATCAATGGTTGGCTGGTTCCACTATTTTTAGGCCTTTGGGAGGCAGAAACATCTTGGCAGATGGGTGTGGAG